GGGGGCCGGTGGCGGGAGGAAAGCTCACGCCACTCTCACTCACTTAGGACAATGGTTATGCCACGCGGCCTCCAAAACGTGACAGTGGGAGGGGAGGAAAGGACGGATGAGATCAGCCTTACGACAGTGGAGGTTGTGGATCCCTTCATACAGACTTCAGTTAGGGCAGATTTGAGTGAATTACCAAGAGAACGACCGTACGGAACTTCAGGAGTGGATCGCTTTGCCCACAGGAAAGGAACCGTACCTGCTTGCTTTTCGTTATCAAAATGTGTGAAGTGGAGCAATTGACTTTTCAGTTCCTCAGCTTTCAGGGTGTGAGAGTTGTCTTTCTGGTGAGTAGGGATGAAGGGCCAGGCTGATTTTAGAGCATCACCCCTAGGATTTTCCCAAAGGGAGCCAGAGCCAGCGATGTCCAGGCCAGTCCTCCCTGGTGCCCCAGAAGCATAGAGTGGCCCGCTTAGTTCCAGGCAGAGAAAGAAAACTCCAGTGTCACCTTTGCATTTCAGGCATTGTCTAAGTTCTTCTTGCACCTATTTTCCCTCTGCCTGGGCTCCCTAAAGACAAAAGCTTCATTTCTTCTTGGCTACTCTGCAAGGAAGAGCAAGTGCAGGCTTGCTTGGGTAGAGGTGAGGAGGAATAAGGGCAAGAGAAAGGGGAGAAAGGCGGCCGTGCTAGCGGACACACAGCGTCCAGCCTGGGCCTCTCCATCCTCGGCCTCCAGGAGTAGATGGGAACTGCCATGATGTGTTGGGTCCTATTGGGTCCTCGGGAGGCTCCAGCTCAACTCCCCAGAGTGATGGCCACCCCGGTCACCAGCAGAAGGCTGCCCGCCCGGGATTGCCAGGACCCTTCTCCAAGCTCACCTGTGAGGCAGTCGCTCTAAAATTCCTGAGGGTCATCACGGGCAGGAGACAGGCCTGTAGGATCCTGTGTCTTCCTGTGACAGCTCACTGTTCTTTGCACCCACCCTCCAGACCCAATAGCATCTCTTTGTAGCCGGAGTTCAGCACCTTTCTGACGTGTGCTCTTGGCTTGTGCCACCACCCAGCAGGCTCTGTGGGACTCTCATCCCGGGCTCTCTCTCCTTTGTGTCTCCAAAGCTACAGACTCTGGACCAGGGCCAGGAGGGGCTGACAGCCACCTCAGGTCAGGCAGCAGTCTGTCTTGGCCAGGGCGGCTCTTGCTGGGCCGGACAATCACAGGGAGGGCCGAGCAGAGGGGCTACGGAATCATCTTCCCCACCTGTCTCTGGTGCGTCCCCCTCTTTCGCAGCGGGATTCGCAGGGCGTCTGTCTTGATTGCTGTGTGAAAATCAGGTGAAATGAGGCCCAGCGGGGCTGTGGATTGGCACCTGGATCTTCCACTGTCAGCCGGCTGCAGTTTTGCTCAGATTACGCAGGTCAAATAAACAAAAAAACAAGGATGAGGCAACATCCTGTTTCTTTTTCACGGTTGAAGCTTTAACCACTAGAGTTGTAGCTGCCGGGGCCCCTCTTGACTAGGGGTTTCCAAACAATTCATCGAGCTCCTGCATCCACTCGTCCCCTGGCCCACCTTTGATGATGGCGTCCACGAGATCGGCACTGTCCGAGAGGCTGGGGAAGGATGCCCCAGCTGTGTCACCACTGTAATTGTATGACATGTCCTGAGGGGGGTTCCGCTCATAGCCTTGGCTCTGGCTGCTTGAGGCAAAACCTCCACTGGACATCTGCTGCTGTGCCGGGGGCTGGCTGAATGCTGGCATGCTGGGAACGCCCTGGCTTAGGCCAGACATGACCATTGGCCTGGCCTGGCTGGTGCCTTGCTGCCCCGGGAGCGGTGGCATCATCTGCCGACCCATGGCAGCTGGGTTGAGGGTTCTCACCGTGCCGGTGTTCGCATCCACCACCTGGCTCAGTCCCTGTGGGAAGTGTTGCTTGGTCAGCCTCGGTTGGCCAGCTTGCAGTGGGTAGCTGGCGCCGTTGTTGAATGATGCTAATTCTCCACTAGTCCTCCCAGGCAGCCCCTGTAAGCTCCTCTGTTGCCAGCTCTGTGTTCCCTGCTGGACCGTTCCCATAATGCTTTGCAGCCTCGGTGGGCCCTGGGGCCTGGGCAAGGCCTGGCCTACCGGCCCCTTCATTTGCTGGTGCTGCTGGGTAATGGCCGAGTTCACCAGCATGCTCTGACCAAAACCACTCACCATCCCAACCCCTTGCCCCGAGGTGGGCTGCCTCGGCCCCTGGGCTTGGTTGTGTGGGATACTCATGCCACTTTGGTTTGGGTGCTGCAACATTTGGGTCATTCCTGTGCTCATATTGTACATTCCCGGTTGGCTGGTAGGTGGGGTGCTATAAGGGGCCAGTCCCATCTCCGACTGCGCTGCTGTGGCCATTGTCCCTGGGTTCTGGGAGGGTCCCATTCCCATCATGCCTGCGTTCTGTGCCATCAGCCGTGAAGTTCGCATGCTCTGGAGGGCTGTCTGGCTTCTCACGGCCGCTATGTCCTGGGGAGACCCTGCAGGGAGAAAAGGACAGACCTGTTCACTCATCTCTGCAAGCAATGCATGGTAACAAGTTGTTGGACTTTTCTTTGGGACTGACCAAATTCTTTTAGATGAAAGGAGCTACTCATAATAAATCCTTAAAAATACCAATTATTTTTCTGACTGTAACATATGCTGATTGTAAAAAATGTGGAAAATAGTGAAGAGCACAAAGATGAAAATTAAGGTCATTCCCACCCTCCAGAGATGACCACCGCTAACTTACATTAATATATAGACACATGAAAACTGGGACCATGCAGTACATAGGCTTTTGTAGTTGACTTTTCTATTTGATATACCCTGATATTATTTTTGTTCACATTTCAGAAACAAATCGTTTCTCACCCGTCTTGATATGATGCCATCCTCAACCAATAAGATACCATCTTTTTGGAGGTGAGAGGAAATTCACCTCCTGGGCTAAATTAGGCAGAAATGGCTGATCACTTTGCATATCCTATTTGTGAGGTGGAATATGGTTCAGTAGAGAATACTATCAATAAAGACCATTAGGCTAATTTCCCCTAAGACTTGAGTAGGATTTGAGAGGTTAAAGGCTATCACTTTGCTAAGAAGCTATTTCGACAGATGGGACATTTCTTGGAACCACTCTGTAGACTTCCACATGCTCCAGATTCTCTGAATCATAGTATGTCAGTGCGAACTGGCCAGCTTCCTGAGTTAGAAAAAGAAATCATCCTCCTACTTGCTACTTGGCAATGAACTTTATGCATTTCTCCAACAAAGGCCACTCCTTCAAATCAGCAATGACCACTAAGGCAGTTTTAATGATGCTGCTTAAAAGTTGACCAGAATATCAATGCCAAGTCACTCAACCCTAATTAGACATTTGAGTGAGTCCTTCTTTACACGTTTCCGGGAAATTTCTAAACCAGTCAAGAGAATAGAAATGTCACCCTTAGAACCCATCAATGTTGTCAAGGGCTAGGAGGTGCACAGAAATGGATTTTTCTGTGTCCCTGCTAATGATTAAGTCTATGAAAAAAAGAAAAATAGTTTTTTTCCTGGACATTTAAAAAAGGTGCAGCATGGGAGCCAATCGATACTATAAGCAAATTTGATCGTACCTGGAACCTGGATGAGAAACCAGATGAGAATAGCGTAACCTTATTAAGCCTGGCACCCTGGCAGATAACTGAAGTGTGTTTTTGTCTTCCTGATTGGGTTATTGATTTCTGGGCAGCAAATATGTCTCCATATTTTCTTTCTTTCTTTAAGAAAGAAAATTATGGGAATTTTGATTATGACAAGTTTTTATGGCTTGAGTTCAATATCATGCTGAATTGAAAAATGAAATGGTTACTGTGAGGGAAGCAGAAAGATCTGGGGGAGATCCCTAGAAACGTTTCAATTTTTTGTTTTGAGCTTAATTGCATCTAAGTGGAGTTTTTAAAAAAAGTTCCTGATTAAACACTGGATGGTGGTATATATTGCAACTTGCAATCTTGTTATGAAGCTTTGTGACCTTAACAACTAAATTTGTATTGACTACATGGCCAATCTGATCAACTGTGGTGAAATGGGTTATTGAGTTGCTTATAAAAAAATTTAAGGGAAAAATATTGCTGACTCAGAGATTGATTGGATAGGCCCAATTTACATAAACAGGCTGCTGGAAACAGATGAAAGGACTTTCATATTTCGGACATTTTTGTTGTAACTTAGAATAAATATGTTGAGGGATTAGATATTGACTGGACTAATTTTGTGAATGAGAAATAGTTTCCTTTCTTTAGAGGGCAAAAATGCTGCAGTGCCTCTTAAGAAGTATTGAACCATTAATCCAAGCCAACCTTTATTTTTACTTGGTGTCAATGACTACACTATCCAGATGTAATTCTTATTAAAAAAAAAAAAAGGACCTTTTAATATCAGCAGTCAGCACCATATTTTCAACCTAAGAAAAACAAAAAACCTCATATTAATCTGGTTTTATGAACTTGGGTAATTTTAAATATACAAAGGAAAAAAATTCAAATGCCTTCAAAGAATTAACGTGTCTTTATCTGACAACTACGTATGTTAAACAATGGACTACTTTTTCTTCTTTTTTATTTTTGTCTAAAACAGATACTACTGTGAGATACTGTAGTCAAATTAATTTTCTTGTCTGTTGGTTAACATCACAACGTCAAAGAAAATTTTCCATATTCAAACAGAGACGGTAACATGCAATTTTTTCCCTGAAAGGGTCTGTGTTCTATTTCCACTCACAAGAAGTCTATATTTATGTAAAATAAGCTTTTCCCCTAGGCATGTAACATTGCCCAGAGACACAGAACTCAGCAAGAGAAAGTTCGTCTTTAAAACCTTTGAAAACTGTAGTGGTCAGTGGACCTGTAGGTCTCAGACAAGTTATTCCTAACAGAACTTCTCTCCAAGGACAATATTTTTAATCTATCAATTTTCTATTTTCCCAGATACATAACATTATGATATCTAGGATGTCAGTAAAATACATGAAAATACAGAAGAAAAATTTTAAAGTTATCATATCAACAGCTTAGGAACCCTAAAATGTCGCTGGTTGTTTAGCCTAAGTGGAGCTAAGTTTTTTAGGTTGATTACCTGTGATTTGGGGTCTTACAAAAGTTCAAAGAGTAGAACTTTTAAATTGGACCCAAACCATTCAGAATAACTCATAACATAGAGGAGTTACTAAATTTTGGTGGGTCCCTGTATTCCAAAAAATAATACATGAGTTATGAACCTAGAAAACTCAAGGGACACAATACCAGGTTTATCAGATTTAACGGTTTAGATTAGTTCATAATACAAAGCACCACTTCCCGAAGTATGGCCCCGGGCCAGCAGCAACAGCAACTGTGGGGAAACTGTTAGAGATGCAAATTCTCAGGCCCTGCTCCAGACCTACTGAATCAGAGACTCTGGGGGTGAGGGCGGGCTTCTGTTTTGAACCAGCTGTGCTGGTGATCTGATGCAGGCTCAAGTCTGAGAGCCACAGGTACAAAAGAGGGCTCCGAGTCTGCAACAAAAACTACGCGTGTAACAATGACTATTTCCCACTCCTCCCCCGCATTGACCAAATGAGAAACAGAATTCTTCAAAGAATATTGGCACTAATTTAGTGCACAGAACAAACTCCCTTTGTCCTTCCCTGTGTCGAGTCCAAAGGGATCTGAAGTGATATAAATGTCCCAGGGATGGGAGGGGGTGATAGCGGCTCAAGCCCTGGGGGGTCCACAGGCAATCTTCAGGGAGATCTGGCCGTGAACATCAGCGGCTTTCAGACTCTTTAAGCCACAACTCACAGTACATACACATGTGGGTTTTAGGACAGAAACAAAAGTTGCCCTAATTATGATACACTCCAATCATTTCTATTATTTCGTTAAAAAATGTTGGTTGTGGCCAATCATCTTCACAACCTACTTGAGTGTTGCAACCCAAAGACTGAAAAAGGCTACCCTAGATCACAGAATTTTCACCCACAGTCTATGGAAAAGGGTAACACTTGTGAAATGATCCACAAAGTTTGTATTTATTTATATATATGGATATCTCTGTGCAAGGGGCTTCATAGCTTCTGGCAGATTGTCAAAGCGATAGGTAACATTTGAGAAGTTAGGATGCATTGATCTAGGTCTTCAAAAAGGACAGAGGACAGGAATGAGGATTTCTGCTGCTTCATGACCCCTGTGGCCCCCTGAAAACTCCTGTGGATGAGATTGGGAAGGGTCCTCAGACTCATCCTCCACCCCATACAAGACCCACAGGGGCTCTCTCTGTTAGAGATGGGGGCGATTGATATTTGAGTGGACCTTCTACTTTTTACAGAGAAATGGCAACGCCGCACAAACAGTGCACCCATTGCTCCTGGGGCCATGATTCAGGATTTGTGCAAAGGGCGGCAGGATCAAGAAAGTCCAGTCAAACTCAAGTCCCTATTTGTCTTCTATGTTCAGCAGAGATTAGTGGTTGCCGAAAGCCAGATTCTTTTACTTCGGTTGCTGGAACTGAGGGCTTTGGTCAGCTGACCTGCTGGGATTAGCAAGAAAGATGTGACACGGGATTGCCCCCACTCCTCCCCATGGCCACTGAGATGACGATCCAGACGTAAACAGGGCTGATACTAGGTCAGTCGGCGCCAGTATGTCTTTGCTGGTTGTTAAACCACCGAAATACTTCCGTACCTTTGGTAAAGAACAGCTGCTCCAGTCCCACTCCCACCGCCACCCCGCCCCCACCCCGGGCCCACCAGGACCTCTCTGGGGCCCAGCGACCCAAAGGTTAACGCCTGGGATTCTGATTGGTTGGCATCATCAGTTCTTAAATATTTTTAATATTACCTGGACACAAACACAGCAGCCGTGGCATTGTCACTGGCTCTACATTCACTTACACTTGCCCACTGGAAGGGATACAATGGCAGAGGTGTGCACCGGCCTCACCTTGAAACTGGGCGACCTGCTGCACTGGGTACGGGTTGCGCGGCCGCTGGAGGTGCTGCCGGGGTAACTGTGGCGGCTGCAGCTGCTGAAACGATAGGACAAGGAGGACCGGGGCGGGAGGAGGCGCACAGTTAGATCTCCTGGCTGTTCTGAGGAAGCGGTTTTCAAAAACTGAACTCTGTACTGAAGAATAACACGCATACAGGTCAGGGCACAAGCGTGTAGCATCCTTCCCCCCTGCGACGGATTTTCACAAAGGAACACGCTCGTGGGTCGAGACGCAGAATGCTGCTAGAAGCCCCTCCTGCCCGTTCCCAGCCACTGCCCTTCACCTGACCCGTGGGCACACTATCCCAGCCTAGCAACAGGTTAGTTATATCTGCTTCTGTGCTTCAGAGAAGTGGCCTGAGACAATGTACTTGAGCCTGTTTTCTGGGGGACTGGCTTCTTGCATTCATCGTGTTTGGGAGCTCCATCCACGGTGATGCCTGCAGTGGGGTCCATTCATTCTCACTGTCGAGTAGTATTCCCCCCATAAGAACATCCCACGATGTCTTTGCCCATGCTACTAGGGGTGGCTGTTTAGGGTGCTTCTGGTTTTCGGCTGTCAGAGCCCCCTCTGCTGCAAACATCCTCGCTGAACATCTGCGGCATTTCTGCTGTGTGGACCTGCTGGCTTATGAGGGAGGTGTGGCCAGGGAGGCAGTTCTGACCTTGCTTTTCCGACATCAGCCTGCGTGCTTTCCTCAGCACGGTGGGTACCGAGCTCAAACGGACAAGCAGCTAACTTTTAATGACCTAAAATAGATGCTTCGGGTATAGGAAGATGGGATTCTCAGGGCCTATTAAAAAAAAGGCTCATTTTATTCCCAGGAAGCCACCCTGCCTGCAAAATACATCTCCACAAGTCAAACATACAGCATTTACTGCCCTGAGGAAACCACGTGGGATTCCACGTACACCAGGAGCCAGGAGGCCCACGTTTTAGTTTTTCTTCTTCCAGTCACGAGGCTTCTGCACTGCCGGCACTGTTACCAGTATACAGGGAAGGCTATTATGATCATTATCATGCTGTATGTGAAAAGGGAGAGAAAATAAGAGTGAGGTGGAAAGAGCAAAGGGGTTTTCGTTCTGGGTCTGCCATCAAGTAGCTGCGTGACCTTCGGCATGTCATCTAACCTCCTCTGCAGCTGTGGAATATGCATCAAGCACCTTTCATCTGCGAGGGCTAGGAAAACAGACAACGAGGGCCCCGCTCTTTACAGCGTTCATTATAAAAATAACACACACTGACCACTTCTTAACACGTGTGTTTATCTCTATTTTTTCCTCTTGTTTTTGTTCCTGGGCAGCTCTATAATTTTCTTTTTCTTTCTTTTTCTTGACAAGGCCAGCCAGCACGGGCAACCAAAGAAAAGAAGGGCCCCTGTTCACCCCATCCTGTGGTGTTTTGCACGAAACCGTTGAAATGAATTAATTGTATAGACACAGCGTAGACAAGAAACCATGCTAATCTTTTAGGCAGCAATCTAAGAACATTACTGAGAGTAAGGTGAGCATTTAAAAGCTTCTCAGAAGCCAGACTTCCCATATTACGTAAGAATTTAACTGTCCCACTTACAACTGGGCATCAGCCCTGGGGTAGCCTGGGGTGGACTGTCCGTCAGGAGTCAGGGGGCCCAGGTGCCAGTCCTGGCTCTGCCCCTCTCTAGCTCTGCGATCTCTGAAAAAAATCATGTAAGTTCCCTGGTCTCAGTCTCCTCGTGTGTAAAATAAAGGGACTTCATGATCCTCAATGTTTCTTTCAGATCCAAAATTCCAGATTCCGTTGAAATCAGCTTGGCGTTGATATGGCCACATTCAACCTCAAAAGTGTAGGCATCAATAAGCACTTTCCCCAGGTGCAGGTGAGATGCTACATCCCTCTGACTTACTTCTGGGCTGGTCCCACAGGATGGCTGGCACGTGTGGCTGCAGCTCTTACACTACCTTCTGTGACACCAGGGTCAAGTGGCAGATTCACACCTTGTGCAGTTTCCGAAGGGTTTTACACTCATTACTCATGTTGAGCATCAGGAGGAAAGCTGGGAGATTAGGAAAACCTTATTTGGCAGACGAGGAGAGAGGTTAGGCGGGTTTTCCAATATCATACCATAAGCAAAGGATGTGACCCAGAGTGAAGTGTTCTTTCCTTGGTCCCTCTTCAGCTCCCGGAACACACAGTTGTTAAGGAATTATACTTTTTTTTTTTTTTTTT